AGGGGGGGGGGGGGTCAGTATGTAATAAAATTACCCAAATTTACGAGCAAACTTATATTCAATTTTTTTAGTTTAGTTTCAAAATTTACTCCATATATAGACTGTATAGCTGCATGCATACACAACAGAGAAGAATACATTATACCTTGTTCTGTTGAAGAGGTTGTATCAACAATGCTAATGGAGCTTGATGAAGTCATGATGGCCGTTGTTGTTGTTGGCGACACTAAAAATAATTGTGAAAATTGTCATGAGAATGCTAATATCACCACTGAAACTCGTAAACCAATAACGCCCTTGCAAGTAAGATCTAAGGAGATGAGTTTATAGATGATAGAGACATCTAAATAAAGCTAGCAATAGTTTACGTTTCCTCCTGTAGTAACACTTGATCAATATTATAAAGGATGGTCGTTACTTGACCTCTAAAGAGAACATGGAGTTTAGAACTGATTGAGCTATCCACGATATAATAAAGTGAGTTTAATTTAAGTTTCCGCCAGTAATAACACTGGATCAATATTAAAGGATGATTCTTACTGTATCTCTAGAGAGAACAGCTTAGAACTGATACGCTAACGGGAAACTACTGCATGGGCATTATAAGGGTACTTGCTTTGACATTAATTAATACCGATACAATAAATTTTCCAATACTAATATAATTAATTTGTTCATTAATTAATCAACATAATTACTGTTGCTAATTAAAATATTGCTGATTAATTAACGTTGCTAATTAATGAGTGTGATCAATTAATAACCGTTATTAATGAATTAAATTGAAAATTGGCTTATTAGCCGATATCTCCGGAAAAAGCCCAATTCTTTCGAAAACATAACCGCTTTTAACTTGGAATGAACGTCGAAAGCCGGTCGTACTTAAAAGTCTTAAAACAATCGTAGCATTGATTACCTTTAACGCACGCAAAAAATACGGCAGTAATATGTTGACATCGGCAATTTATTTCAATGCAAGGCAGAGGTAAGACCCCCGAACTTGAGTTCATACATTCAAAAAACACACAATGTGATTGATTTGGGTTTGGTCCGGGAAAGCATTGCATTATTTCCGACGCGGTCTCATTATTAAACCATCGAAAGGTGGAATTTGATAAACCGAGACCGACCCAGCCTGTAAGTAAAGACAAAGTTTCATTTCGAATCAAGTCGAGTCGAACAATTTCCATAAGGTCGCCATTAAGATATCCATGGCAAAATTGACGAGCTTCAGTGAAATTCTCTTCCTTGATGAAACGTTTGAAGACAGCGAAGTTGTCACTGGCGCTTGCCACAGTTGTATAAGGACTCGATGCTGCTATTATTGTTGTTGTT